ATCTTTTTAAATTGAGTAAATTACAATAACCTCTCGAGGTATTATGAAATTATAGTAGCTATCCGAAAGTTTAAAAATATTACAAAAACTTCTTTTTGTTTCCAAAATTACCTTAACATTAAGGAGAATGATTCAAAAATATTAAGAAGTGTTTGGTGTGTGAATCCTAAAATGTCCTTTTGAAGTGTGATTTATGGGAATATGATTGTTGAGAACATAATATTTGTATTTGGTCGAAAATAAAAAAATCCAAATAATGTGTCTTTATTGTGTTCGGTTTTAAACAAGTTTATTATTTTATCCCTATAAATTGTTTATAAGATCCAACAATAAATTTAGATTTATATAAAAAAAAAAACCGCCGGGTAAAAAAATAAATGTACCAATAAATTACATAACATATATTAATCATTAATAATTTTAATAATATAATAAAATTATTAAAATATATATTAGTTGATCAAATAAGTTATAAACCTACAAGAATTCTATTGTCGTTGTCAAAAACAAGGGTATGTTAGTCCATTTAAAATAATAATCGGGGGTAATAAAGTAAAAGAAGAAGAAGCAATCACTATAAAATGTTAGATTATTGGTATATAACTAAAACACATGGTGTTTGAACAGTGGCAACATTGTTCACCCCCTCATAAGTTACTATTCACCTTTTTTTTTTTTTTTTTGGTAATTTTCACTCTCATTTTTTTTTTTTGTAACTTTCAAATTATTTCGTTTTGATCTTTTTCTGTAATTTTCATTCTTAGCTTTTTTTCCTCAGTTTTTTTTTTGTAATTTTCAAATTATTTTGTTTTGATCCCTAAAATTTTAAAATAAAAATTTTAATCCCTAGTTGATGCACCTCATGACTTTTTTGTTTTTTTTTGGTTTTTTCATCAATTTATGTTTTTTTATTTAATTGGGTGCTAAAATTTTTAAAAATCAATTGTTATTTTTTTCAAACAAGCTAATAGTTATATAATATATAGATCAAATAGATATACTTTAAAAATACTCCCTCATAAAAAACTATTCACTCTTTTTTTTTCTTTTTTTTACCCTCACAATGTACTATTCACTCTTAGTTTTTTTTTTTTTTTGTGGTGATTTTTAAATTATTTCGTTTTGATCCTAAAATTTTAAAATAAAAATTTTAATCCCTAACTCGATACACTACATGCCTTTTCTTTTCTTTTTTCTTTGATTTTTTCTTTACTTTTTTCCATCAATTTATCTTATTCTTTTTTATTTAATTGGGTGTTAAAATTTTTAAAAATCAATTGTTTTCCTTTTTTTTTTATTTTACATAAACTGTGGATATATATATATATATATATCTATCAGCATTAAATAAGAATAAAATTTTATTTTTCGTTGGTTAACTTTCATGCAAATCTATACATTAATTGTAATTTTATTTTTTTGATATATTTGTATAAAAAAATATATTTTTAAAGTATTTGTTTGTATGACAACACCTGTTCTCCCCCTCACAATGTACTATTCACTCATTTTTTTTTACCCTTACAATGTATAATTCACTCATAGTTTTTTTTTTTCCCCTTAGTTTTTCTTTTTTGTAATTTTTAAATTATTTCGTTCTGATTTTTGTTTTTGTAATTTTCACTCTTACTTTTTTTCTTAGTTTTTTTTTTTTTTTTGTAATTTTCAAATTATTTTGTTTTGATCCTTGAAATTTTAAAATAAAAAGTTTAATCCCTAGCCGATGCACTACATGCTTCTTCTTTTTTTGGTTTTTTCTTTGATTTTTTCCATCAATTTATGTTCTTTCTTTTATTTAATTGGGTGTTAAAATTTTTTAAAATCAATCGTTATGTTTTTTCCACCCAAACCGACGATTATATAATATGTATAGATCAATTATATATACTTAAAAAAAAATCTTCTCATTAATATTAAATAAGAATAAAATTTTATTTTTCATTGGTTAATTTTTATGCAAGTCTATATATTATTTTTAACTTTATTTTTTGAATATATTCTTATAAAATAATATATTTTTAAAGTATTTATTTTTAAATTTTAAATTTAATATTTCAGGTTTAAATAATATATTACAAGTTTTTATTTAGGAATCCCTAAATAAAGAAAAATAAATCATGTTTTTTAAGCGTAAATTATATGAAAAACACAAAAAGTAATAATTAAATAAAAAATTAATGAAAAAAATATAAAATTTTGAAATGATTTTGTTTTATCTACTCGTAGCGGTGCGTGGATAATTTCAAAAATTAATCTTCTTATCAGTATTAAATAAGAATTTTTTTTCCATTTGTTAGTTTTTATAAAACTCGTCTATTAATTATAACTTTATTTTTTCGAATACAATATTATGAAAAATATATTTTTAAAGTTTTTTTTAATTCTTGATTAATATTTTAGTTAAAATAAATCCATAAAAAAGAATAATTTATGTTTTTTTAAGAAAAAAATTTATAAAAAAGCATTAGAAAAAATTAATTAAATAAGAAATTATAATTAAAAAAGTTTAAAATTTTAAAATGATTTTATTCTATCAAACCCACAACATAGCGTGGGCAACTAACTCGGTTTCCATCTAAAATACATATACATTTTCTTCTTTTGATGGAACGAATACATTTATTAACGATTATTAATCTATTCATAATATTAATTATTGTAATAGTTATTTTACTATTTTGATAAACTACAATATGAAATCACAATCGAGACTATTTTTATAATTATATTGTTATTTAAAACTATGGTGTCCAAAGCTAGGCGTCCATACAAGGAGGTAGAAGGTAGAGTGTAGTTCTATATATAAATAGGGGTCATCACATGATTTAGTCCCACAAAATGTTTTTAATGGTTTCCTAATCTTGGTGCGACAAGTATAAATTCTTATTCACTTCTGTTAGCATCAATATCAAGCATTTCAATTGTATGTAGATTGGGGAGCCAGAATGGAAGTGAACAGATCAAAGGACACTTTTAGCTTGATTTTTGCAACACAAACGTTAGTTTGCTACAAAAATTTTGTTTTTTTTTTTTAATTTCTTGAATTCAAATTTTAAATCAATACTCAGAAAAAAAATATTATTTTTTGTATGCACTTATCTGGGAAAAATAATAATTTTGATTGACATACAAACTAATACGAAGATGTTAGTTACCATCAAACCAACAAGAATAAATAAATAAATAAATAAAGCAATTAGCTTATTTGAAAGCAATGAGAATGGCTTCATATTTTTTGTTCTACGAAAAAATCGGATGCATCCCAACTCCCCAAATGTGTAAACGTATCTAGGATAAGGAGAAAAAATGTTTTCCTTTTTTTATTGTTATTATTATTTATACAGTAGGATTAAATTCATCACAAATTGAAAATATTATGCAATTTTGAGTGCAGTATTTATTTTATTTTATTTTTGAAAAAGAAAAGAGAGCATCATTATTTATAGGAATGTTTGACGATGCCTTTACCCAAATCGTTTACCATGTTTTTCCACGACTTCTTAAAGTCAACCCATCAAAAGAAGAAGGACATGTTTAGAGGATATAAAGGGGTCCACGATTCAAGTTGTCCTAAATTTAATAGGATATGCTTGTACCTGCAACATTATCGTTGTGCAATAATGACAAGAAACCAACCGAAACTAAATACACCCAAATAATTCAGGTCATCATTATTATAAACCAATTTTTTCACTTTTCAAAGTTTTAATTTTGGTGGTAAATTCATTTACTCTCCAACTTAATTATCCTCTCAAATTCCAATAAAAAAATGCTCATGACAAAAAATGGGTCCACTTCCTTAATTAGGAAATAATTATTTTTTTTAATGATAAGGATTTTTTTAAGAAACAAATTTAGCACCCATATTAAGAAACTTTTTGAACCAATTTGTATATTAATTCGAATTAATATTTTTTAAATGATCTTAAAAATACTCATTCTAAATTAATTTAGTATATTCAGAAAATTTAATTAAGATATAAATAATTTGTTTAAGACTTATATAGATAAAAGCCCATCTAGTTAAAGACAAAAACATGAACTATAATTTCTAGAGAAAATCATTTATAAACCAATCCAAAAGTAACAAGGTTATCCATAAACTTTTTTTTTCTTTGAACATCTTCGTTTAAAATTATGAAAATCCTATCATATAAATATATAAATTCTAGTAAATAAAACTTTTGAACTTTTGAGAAATATCAGTTAGTCTCTAATTATATATATATATATTCTATTGTAAAATATAGATATTTTAATAATTGGAAAAAAAATTTAATTGAATACTTTTATCAATGTTTGTTAACATTTTTTTTAATCAAATTTGCATATATTGCGTTCTAAAACAAACGTTCCAATTTGATTTTATTTTTTTTAATTACAAATCAAAATAAACTGATAAAAAAAAACTCAATTGAAAAATATCAAAAACATTTCAGATCTAATCGATAAATTATTTTGCTTCCAAACTTAATTGAAAATTAGACAATACATTAGGTTCTAATTTGATATAATATTAACCATCAAATATTATTAAACTATGTTGTTATTTTTTGAGATATAAAATGATCAATGAAGAATATATTAACATTTCATTTAGGCTAATCGGTTAAAAACTCCTTTCAACTTCATAGAAATTTTATCAGCATCCCATCTTCCAAACGTTTGGATCTTCACTTTATCGCATCTTAAATCAAAACAGCACCATGTCACTACTAGCAAATTTCTTTCCAAAATTTATGTTGTTGTTGTTGTTGTGTTGAATTGATTGGGACATTTCTTATGGTCGGGGTCTAGATTTTGCTTCTTTAGTTCAAGATGATGGTGCCTTTGTTGAAGTTTTACCTTTTCGTTTTGTTTGTGAGAGAGGATAAAAAATCACGTGATCCGTTAATCCCAAAAGCTGTTATAAGTTGACCAAGCTGTTTGCTCCATTTCCTTCAACTTCCCTTTAATTTCCAAACCTCTCTCAAAATATCTTTTCATTTTTTCTAGAAATTATGGAGATTATCCCGTCTTCATCTTCACCTTCACCTTCACCTTCGTCTTCTTCAAGTAGATTCAAACTTTTTGACCAGTTAGAATTGCAAGAATTCAACGATAAGTACGTGATCAAATCCGTTGAATCTCCTAATCGCGGCTTCTCTATTAGTCGTCTCCACGGAGATATCCAGTCTCTTAATGGTAATTAGGGCTCTCGCCTTCGAGTTTTAGGTTATATGATTTTAAGCTGATTTGACTTTGCTAATTTTAACAGATAATGATGATGAGAGTTCCGTTAGTCCGTCAAAAACCTCGGCTATCTACGGCGTAGTCGGTACAATTAGATTGCTTGTAGGTAATTAATTTTTTAATTAATGTATGTGATTATTTTTTATGTGTTTTTGTTGTTTTAATAGCGGATGAGCATTTTGCGTGTGGAATAATTTTGTTATATTGGTGTAGGAACATACATGCTTGTGATAATTTCGCGGAAAGAAGTTGGAACATTTCTTGGTTTTCCTGTTTTCCGAATAACAGCAATGAAGTTTTTGCCTTGCAATGACGCATTGAAGTTTTCGACTACGCAAGAAGTAAGGGTTTTGCTAAGTTTCGTTACTTTGTCAGGCCTTTTGATTTCTGTTTTTTGGGTTATTTTTGGTGTAAAAGGTAGTTATAATGTGTGCTTGGTGCAGAAAAGAGACGAGGCTTACTTTATGAATCTTTTGAAAGTGGTGGAGTCAACTCCTGGGTTGTATTATTCGTATGAAACGGATATGACATTGAAGTAAATTCTCTTATCTTGCAGATGTTCTGTATAGGCAATGATTTTTGATTAATGGTTGTTTTAAGTTTCTTGTGTTGGAGTTTTTATCTGTTTAATGTTGAATCCTATCTTTATGTGGTGCATTTGATCATTTGTTTCCAGCGTACAAAGAAGATGTAAATTAGCGGAAGGGTGGATGAGTAAACCGCTTTGGAAGACAGTAAGTTTTCACGGTAGATATTATCTAGAAATTATAGATTAATAAATATTCGGTACACTTAATGAATACTTTTGAATGTGATTTCTTCTTTCTCTTTTCTTCTTCTATTATCAGAATGTTGTCTTTTAAGTGAGAACTTACCATTGTAAGAAGGGGGTATAGTTTCCCTGGCTAGCTCACTTGGTTCTTTTGTGTTGGTTTTGGAAGGTCCATTGTAGTTTCAAATTCAATATTATGAATGTATAAAACATCCTCCTTTTGAATCAGTTTTTGTAAAGAAATTGTATATGAGATAGTTCAGTGTGATGCTTTGTGTTCTTGTTCAATGCCTCCTTGTTCTTGGATGAGATTTTCTTCATCTTTGTTATTTTTTCTTTTATAGCAATCATGTATTGTTACTTGTGCTTGTTGAGGATGTTGAACTTCTTTTTTCTGCCTTTCAGGCTGACCCTCGATTTGTTTGGAACAAAAATCTTTTGGATGAACTTATTGAGTTTAAGGTTAGATATTCCATATATTCAAAAATTAAGGAATCAATGGATCAGCATTTTGGAAATATTTACTGTTTGGCAGAATAGATAGCGGGAAGGATGGTACTTCCAAAACTAAACAATCATATCCTTTCAACTCTTCAATTTGTATTGTTAGATCGTTTCATTTTTCTAATGCTCAATTGTTTTTCTGTTGGCAGCTTGATGACTTCATCATTCCTCTACTTCAAGGAAATATCCTGATGTCTTTGATATCATTTATTTAACAACAGCACAGCCCCCACCCCACCACCACCACCCACACACACACATTCTAGGAACAATTATAGTATACGCCACACATTTTCCACTATTTTCTGTTTTCACTTAACTAAGACTTACGCTTTGGAGCTGCACAGCTAAAGCTAAAAGAATCATCTGCAACAGTTACATTACTTTCGAGAAGGTGTACTCGGCGTCTAGGTATTGGATTGCAGGGTTAATGAGTAAGATAGTTATTTATTACATATGAGCAATCTAATTTTGTTATATGATATTATGGTGATATTATGGTGGTTTAGGGACACGAATGTGGAGACGAGGAGCTAACCTTGAAGGAGACACTGCTAATTTTATTGAAACTGAGCAATTGCTGGAGCTTGAAGGTTACAGATCTTCATTCTTGCAGGTATATCTTTGGTATCTGATTGGGTTCTGAAACTAGTTTTTGGATCAACAATATCAATATCTGCATATAGTCAGTTCTTTCATTCCTTAATTATTTCATCAGTATGCTTCTGGACACAATAAATTTGAATTACATGCTCAATGCAATATATTGCTGATAAGTTACAGGATTGTTATTTATTTTTCCCAAGTTGTATTATTTTTGAATAGTTGGATTAAGATTCCTGGATTAGAACCATAGGAGCATGGAAATTTTCCTTTTCAAATCCAGCATTTTCAGTTAATCTTATTTCTTTGGTGTGCAATTGCACAATGAATTAATTTATCATGTTACCCATTGTCTATATAGAATTTGGATTCTTGTAATCAGTTTTACCATGTTACAGTATTCCATCCTTTTAATTAGTAGAGAATGGATACTTTATTGCAATGCATTATAGGTGCTTGTTTTTTCCACTTTTCAGATTCGAGGTTCGATTCCCCTACTTTGGGAGCAGATTGTTGATTTGAGCTATAGACCACGTCTTAGAATTATTAATCATGAGCAAATGGTACATTTCTACCATGAATATAATGTTGTCCTTTATTCTTTTAGCTTTAATGAGTTTGCTAATACTTGTTTTTTTTTTTTTTTTTTTTTTTGGCCCTTCTCCTCTAGTCAAAGGTTGTGGAGCGCCATTTCCATGATCTTTACCAACGATATGGGGACACCATAGCAGTTGATTTAACCAATAAAGTATGTCACTTTCTGTTACGACTTTCATTCTCTTCCTCAAATTTTGGATAGTCTATCAATTGTAAAATCTAAGAAGCTATATAACTTGTCCAGCTGGACTGGATGACAAACAGTTCCAGAAGCTATATAGCTTGTCCAGCTGGACTGGATCACAAACATTTCCTTTGTAATTTGCTTGTGACTGTAACACTACTGTGGTTTTGTGTTTATAGAGTTCAGGCTACATGCATACCCACATCATTTAGTATGTTCAATTTAGAAGCATTTCATGTTTGATTGTTTTCCCTTTTGTAGCATGGTGATGAAGGTCAATTAAGCATGGCTTATGCTGCTGAAATGCAAAAGCTTCCAAATGTGAGGTGACATTTTGCACTTTGATATACGTAAATAGTTTAATCTGGTACTGATTCTGGATAGTTTGATGAGAATAGTGAGTACACCTAAATTATAATCTCACTGTATTTACTTTGTCATTGCTTTGATCAATGGTTAAGTCCCAAACAGACTATTTGCTGCACCATGCTTTGTGTACGCATTAATTGTCTTCCACTTGGCACACTTTCATAGCACATAGTTTATCATTACTTGTCCTGCTAATATACCATCTTCTACAATTCAGTTTGATTGTAGTTGATATTTGGATGTCAATATGTTATGGCTTTAATTGTGGGCAAAGTGGTGGGAATAAAATATTTCCAGGAATAATTATTGGATTACTATGACTTCAGGAATGCATTTTTAACTTGTAGTGTGGAATGTTGATGATTGAGGTTGTAGAATAGGATACCACGATATATGTGGCTGCAGTGTCATCTCTATGCTATGGATGTTGTTGGTGGGCATGTTGGCTTTATGGTCAAGCTAACTAATTCAGCAAAACAAGTACCAACCTACCAAAAGGAGTTTGCATATCCTTCTTCATCTTCTTCCTCCTCCTTCCCCTTCCTTCTACTTAGCGGGTAATAGGGTATACCTCTTGTTCCTGCAAAGTTCAGACCCACCTTCACGGGTCAAAGAAAAAATTAATCTTATTTCTCTCTCTGATACGTCAAGAAACTCGCTATAGACTGTTAATTTTTTCTATTTCTTGAGAAGCAGAAATTTTCAAATGAGCTTTCTTGGAATTTGCATTTGGGAATTCAAGAAATGCAAAATTGTATGGTGAGTAGGAGCTGTTAGAGGTACAGGACTGTTGAGTTTCATATGTGAAAGATTAATTCGCAAGTGTGCTTGTGATTGCTAACTAAATCTTTTTAATGGTTTTGCTGGTGTGCTCGTTCACTCTGACAAATAGTTGCACTCTTCTTAATAATAGCAGCATTTTATGGACTGCAGTTTTACTGTTTGTTAATGACATGTTGTCTTCCAAAGCCAATGTGCTGAAAATAAAATGTTTTTTGTGATTAACTTAAAACTTACATGTGCTCATTGCAGATATGTATCATTTGACTTTCATCATTTTTGTGGCAACTCAAACTTTGATAATCTACAAATTCTATATGATCAAATCTCTGACGACTTCCAAAAGCAAGGGTAATGAAACAAAATGGGTTCTCTACATGATTTCCTATAAGTATGCCTAGATCTAGGTATGCTAGCTATCCATAATACTGTTTTTAATCATTGCTATTCCAGCTGAGCAGATATCTCCTCATAGACCCAGAAGGAAATATATTGGAGGAGCAGAATGGAATTTTTAGATCTAACTGCATTGACTGCTTGGATCGATCAAATGTTACCCAGGTTGGTGTAGAACTACTCCCTATGATTCTCTGTCTTTGCTCTTATTGATATTCTTTTTTCCAAGTATTTTTGTTGCCTGATATATGTTGTTTTTAGGAAAAAAAAATGTTTCAATGCTTATTTAGCTAAAGCTACTTCTGTTTTTCCTCTTAACAGAGTTTTTTGGGTCAGAAGTCTTTAACCATACAATTGCAAAGAATAGGAGTGCTTACTTCTATCGAGTGCATTTCTATGTTCATTGAAGAATATGGAAAGTTCAGAACATGTATGTAATTTTTGTGTTTTTGCTTCAATCCTCTATGGTCATTTGGAATTACCATATAATTTTCATCTGTATCGTTTGGTATTTGTCAACAGTATGGGCTGAGCAAGGTGATGAGGTCAGCCTTGAATATGCTGGAACTCATGCTTTGAAAGGGGATTTGGTTCGGTAATTCAAGAATGAACTCTTATGTTTTGTTGAAAATTATTGCCTATGAGTATTGTCTATAATATTTGTTGGATATGTGATACTGCAGATATGGAAAACAGACTATAGGTGGAATAATCAAAGATGGGATGAGTGCCCTTTCAAGATACTATCTGAACAATTTTCAAGATGGAGTTCGGCAGGTAAGCTGCCTTCTTTATCTTTTAAACTTTTACATTATTTTGCAGAGTCATGATGGTCGTTGTATATCTGAAACTCACCTAACAGATTTTGTATGTTTTCAGGATGCACTGGATCTTATAAGTGGCCGTTATAGTGTCAACAGAAATGATCCTTCACCATTCCAGCTCAATGGATTCGAATCATTTTCTGTATGTCATTTTATTTCCTATGTGTTAAGGGTCCATATACTGTAGTTCAGTCCGGTGGCCGTGTTATTCATACTATAGCGAATAGCACAGAAATGCATGTGCAGGACCACTCACAAAACCATATATTCAGATATCTTGAAGGGATGTCAACCTTTATGTCATCATATAGTGAGAATCTGTTAGGGAATACATTCTCCAACTGAAAAATATTTACTGAAATTTTCAGTTTATCCGAACTAGTTTGAGATAGAGGCTTCTGAAATTTTCAGTTTGACAGTAGTGAATGTCAACACATTTAGCTTCAAAAGTTCTGAACCAGATAAATATTCAAGTTCTTCACCAAATACTATGCAGATTCAGTTGGCCAGCTAGCATCATTTCCATATGCTTTTTGGACTATTTATTAGTATTATTTACAATGAGGTCTCTTATGGGCAAAATAAATTTTGCAGTATCTTCCGGTGGCATCTGCTTTGCTTATTGGAGGTTTAACAATAACATCTGTCACGATTCAGCAAGGTATTTCCGTTCTTGAGGCTTGGTTTGTAACAAACATTGTTGTTTACCATTTTTTTGTTCTTTTCAAATCCAATGTTTCTTAAGCAGAGTTAACATTCTATCTTGTTGTGTAATAGCGGGACGAAATGCACATCAGTATCTGTCTACTGTGATCTGGGCTGGAGTGACTGCTGGAGTAATGGCAGTTGTTAAGGCTAACGGAAGGCAGTTTTGTTCTAGGCCTCGCTTATGTGGCCTTATATAATTTCTGAAGCATTTATAACTTGCATTTGAGAAACCTGTACAGAATATATTATCTTGTAGTTCACGTGAAATAATGTTGAATATTCTTTATTCTAATTATTGCTTAGCGTTTCATATCCGAGTAATGTACCGTCAGCTCCTTTTCTATTCTTGGAAAGACTAGCGGGAGCCGGTAGGAAAGCAGGGAGGCCTAATTGGCATTTTAAATTCTGCCGAAAAGGTATACTATCAAAATCAAATTGTCAAAAAAAAAAAAAAGAAGATAAATTATGTAAATTTCCATGTCCAAGCGGTGCTCTTACAAGTTCAGGATTAACCTTAAAAATGTGGCAAAAGCCCTCTCTGACAACAAAATCTGCCCTTTAAACATTCCTATAAGAAGACGAAATGCACCGAGCCCTATTGATATATATTTTTTTTTAAGTCAGTAATCTTTTTAGAGCAGGGAGCAACAAACATTGAAGCATCATCTATCCTGTCTCTCGCAAACTCCTAAACGACTCTTTAGTGATGGATAGTTTCAAGTTCTTACCCCAGATCCCACACGCGTTTTGATTGTAGTCTCTTCCTGTTTAAGTAATTCCCAGAATAGACTTGCCTTGTCCTCTTTAAGGGATTTCCAGAATATTTTTACTGTCAAAGCAAGGAAACAAATATATATCCTCTCTGCTTTCCTTGTCGTTTCCTCAAATAAATAGAGCAAGGGCAAACCACTAATTTCTCTTTCATTTTGCAGCTCTACACTCCTTTCCTTTTCTATCTTCTTTGCACTTGTTATATATATAGCAGAAATGGCTAGGATCGTTGTGGAAACATTCCAGGAATTTCTTGAAGGCTGGCATGTACGCCAAGAACACTACCTCAACGAGCTCCTCGCTGCGAAACAGAACAGCCATGAATCCAGAAAGGAAGATCTCAATGACCTAATTACCAGAGTCCTCTCGCACTACCGGCAATACTATGATGAAAAATCACTTGTTGCTCAACAAAATATTTTTCTCGATTTCTCTACCCCATGGTTAACTCGTTTCGAGTGCACTTTCGTATGGGTCGGGGGCTTTAAGCCAGGACTTCTCTTTCGCATTGTTAAGGACTCTGTCCATGACTTATCAGAGGAGCAAAATGAAAGAGTGAGTAGATTAATGCGCCAGACGAAAGTGGAGGAGAGAGCGCTGGATGAAGAAATAGCAAGAATTCAAGAGAGCTTGGCAGCACCACCGCTTCTGGAGTTGGCGAGGCACGTAGGGAGGTTGGTCAATGAGGAGACAGTGAAGGAGGAGGAGGAGGAGGTGTTAGGGTCACTTAAGAAGGGGATGCAGGCAGTGGTGGACAGGGCTAATGTGTTAAGGACAAGCACGTTGATGAAAGTGGTGGAGTTATTGAGTCCAGTGCAAAATGTGAAGTTCTTGACAGCTGTTACTCAGCTTCAGCTCAGGATTAGAAGTTGGGGATTGCAAAGGGATGCCGAGAGATGTGAATCGAGTAGTAATTGGTCGGAGGGTTGAATTTTTGAGAGTTAGAAGGCAGGCACAGTGGCTTTCTAGTTTGGATTAGGCCAGCTTTTATTTAGGATAGTCATTTAGGGCTTAGTTATTAGGGGTGGTGGTTCGAAGTTAGAAGCTAGAAGCAAGGGAGGCAGGGAAATTACTACTGTTGTTTTCGTTATCTCAGATGGTTAATTCATCCAATTTTGTTCTTGTTTGCTATTTTGACCATTTTCCTATCTATTTATATCTAAAAATCAAATTAACTACACAAATATTATTCTTAAATATACAAACTCCTATAACAATGCTAATAGAACAATTTTTATGTCAATAAAATTCTTTCAAAATGTAAATTAATGAAAATAAGTATATATTCCTTTATTACCACGTACAGGATGCCAAAATTTTGCAGATAAGAACAGAGTTCTATTTTAGCTCTCCTCTCCGCCAATCCAACTGAACAAACATTTTATTTTGCTATCAGAAAACCGAACCAAATGGCTTGCTTTTAATTATCAAAAAAATCAAATAAACAGTTCTAGTAAAAAGAGAGGGACATCTAATGAAGACTGGAACTTGAACAATCTTACTTCTTGTGATCCCATAATAGATAGAAACCTGTGAAGCAGATGACTTCCCTTTCGCGCCAGAAAGGCATTAGAAAATGACCTACCAGCTAAAAATTAAGCCTCAAACAGAGGCTAGTTGATGAAAAACCCACCCAAATTGGGATCCAAAGCCATATTTTCTCCCACCGTTTGATTGGGATTTAGCAAACCATGTAAATAATGCCTAAGGATGAGCAGGAAGAAAGGAGTGTTTTTTTTATTCACAGCTCTCAAACCATCGTCTCTATACATCGACTAAACATATAATTTTTTCCCATAAGTTTCAAGACATACATCTGCATTGAATGAGATGAAATTTATTTTATAATTTTCACTTACAAGATTATCAAGCAGCTTCCCCAACACAATAGAAAAGGTTCTGGATCACGTTAAGATGGCAGGGGAAGTTTACACTGTTACAAGCGACTTGGCTTGCTCAACATTGCTGGCTTAAAACTGTTATCAAGCTGTTGATGTCGTAGGTGCCTTCATATGTGTAGATGGGTTCTAAATCACATAATGCCTGCGATGTGATCCCGAATACAGAAGAGTGAATAGCTTGTACAACAGCAACAATGTGCCAGGCAACTGAAAAGACCTCAAAAACAAGCAAAACAAAACTAAATCAAGTTTCTCGTCATTGCAATTGAAAAGACCTCAGGTATGGCTTCCGTTAAATGAAAAATTCCATTTTCATCTGATCTAAATGTGTCAGTCTCCTGTCTAAGAGTGAACTTTTCAGTCAAGAGTTTAGCATGAAAACCTTGGCAACTAGAAAATCAGCCAAAATTCCGTTGCCACCAAGTAACTCCCTCCCAATGCTAGAAGTTTCCCTTGCCTTCAAACTGATCCATCCCTGAAGATGTAAAACAGCATCGTTGCTGGAGAGCTCAATTCTTTATCTCCAAATATATCACTGAACTTGGGTGTCAATCATACCTTCGCCAAGCTGGCTTGACCGGGGGTCATTGTTCCCTTTTCGTACAACTTGCAAATGCGCCAACCAACTAGTACCATCGCTTGGACATTGCCAAGTATGTGAATAAGTTTCTGTTGATTGATTTGGAAAGCTGGCCATGGTGCTCCAAATTGTTGCCTTTCCTTTAGATGGCTTTGAATCAATTAAGAGTCAGTAAAGGTCATGTGGGAAGTTAAATAAAATGGTACTCGAGAGAATCAGGATGTACAGTGATTATCACTACAAGAAAACCAAAAAATATTGAGGAATTTTTTCGTCGCTATACCATCAATATCCGTCGCCATTTATCTTTAGCGATGGATTTATGACAATATACTTTTAGTAGCAAAAGTGGTTGTCCCTGCTTTCTTAGAGAAAAAATTTTTTCATCGCTAAACAACGACGGGTTAGGCATTGCTAATTTGTAGAATTTTCATCGTTAAAATGAAGTAAATAGTTGCCTCTCTGATCTGTTATCTATCACAAAACCGTCGCTGCTAACTAACGACCAAATCGACGTCGGTAAATCATATTTGCTAAAATTTCTCGCAAATCCGTCGCTATTTAGCACCTCGTATATGTGTCCATCGCAAAGAGGTTTAATTTTTATAGCTAATCCGTCACCAAACGAAGGAATTTTTTTATATAAATTAACAATCATTTAATATTAATGGTAGTAACAAACAATTAAAAATAATACCTTACTAAACACGATATTATTTAATAAAATTAAAATAATATAAATTGAAATCAAATAAATATATAAATACGTTAAGGTGTATAAAAAAATAAAAACTTTTAAAAAAACAAGAAATCTAGTCATCGTCGTCGTCTCTTGTATCATTTTTCAATTGTTGGTAGTGAGAGGAACGATTGACTCCTAGGTTGTGAGGAGTCGACAAGAGAAACACGAGTATGTTGCGAGTCCCGTAATAACTCTATCACTAGCCGCATTTAACTCTATAGAGTGTTGAATTTACCCACGTGTTCCTAGATTGTAACCTTCATCTCCTTGATCCTATCTTTGTTTTAGATAGAAACCTTCTAAATATTACTATCGGGATATCATGAAGTGGTAGAGGAGTCGCTAGCGCTAGAATGGAAGTAGAACCGAGACGTCTATAATTTGAGGCTATATACTCTCTGCTTTTCTCTTTTACTATCGCATCTAAATATATCTTGGTCATGTCGATATTTGGAGACCATGAATTACTCTCCTGTTGCTCTTTAGCAACTATTTCTTGCATTGATTGTACGTGCTCATAAGTGATTGAAATAATTATAATACTAAATCATATATATATTTTTTAGATTATATTGATATATGTATATTTACAAAAAAAAAGTTATCATTATTGTATGAAACTGTCTATCAACAAATGAATAATCTTTTCGTTTGTGAGTGGTTTTGAACAACTCATAAAGATTTAGATTATGATAAATTTATTATAATAATAAATAAATAAAATACTTATCAATATAATAAATATAAAAATTAATTTATAATATAATGAATAATAGAATTTATCATACGTTCACAATCAACATAGCTCAAAATATCTATCGGTATCTGTATAATCCATTCAAACTTTCACCAATCCACTATCTCCAATTTGCTTAGATAATTTAAATTCTAACACTATGTGAAGACGGCTGGCCAAAAAATGTTTTGGGCGCAACCTACTCGACCCGACCCAATCAAGGAATGGTACTACCGCATTGGTATCAAAGACCAATATGGTCAAAGCTTTGACTATTATTGCTTCTCGTGAGACAATTCGATATTTTAAATCTATTATTTAAAATATAAATACTTCAAGAAAACCACCGGTTAAAATTTGAGATTTTTATTAAGGATATACTGAATTTAGGTTTTATAAATAGATAGGGTTAAATTTATCAAATAAATTGTTATTATCATTATTTTAAAAAAAATTAACAAAATATCATTCATCAATTACCAATAACTATTATATGATAAATATTAATAAAGAATGTATTAATAATTTTTTAAAAAATATAAAAATAGTAATATAATTGATGATTTAACTATACAAAATTGCTTAAAGGCTTGCTGATTACTTAAGTTGGGATAATGAAAATAAGTAGGGATTTAGAGATTACTTAAGGACCCGTCTATCATGCACCTTAGATCTGTCAGACCGTTGTTAAACAAACACAGAGCTGATGTCTGGAAGTAAAGAGGCCCAAAAAAAAAAAAAAAAAAATCATTTAATTGCACCGCTCAAGCTCGAGTAAATTATAAATTAGTCCTTTTATTTTGAAAAAAGAATTATTTAGTTTTTTTTGTTTTAAAAAATAAAAATTATTTTTTTATGTTTTAATTTGATAATAACTTAGTTTTTTTTTTTTTTCAGTTTTTGGTTAAATTAGTAAAAACAAAACTATCCTTTCTTTAATACTTTATTTTTCTTCATCACCCACTCTTTTTTCTGTATTCTTAACTGAAAAAAAAAATTTTTAGAAAAAAGTCATTAATCTAACGAAAAAATTAAAAAAAAAAGAGAGAAAAGGAAAAAAAGAACTCTGAAAAGTAAACAGAAAAGGTTGGGGTACTTGATGGTTTGGTTAGGAGTATGATTGTAACTTTTTGAAAACTGGAAGGATAATATCGAAAAAAAAATTAAACTTAGGATAATTATTATTTGACTACCGATTTCTCTTTCTTTGTTTTTGTTTTTTAAGCTGTGTAGTTTGTCTTTGTTTGCGCGAGCAGGGAAACTGTTGTTTCGCTAATGGAGACTTTGGTTTGCATGTTTGAATAATAACAAAGTCTGTCCTTTAAACATCGCTATAAGAAGACGAAATGCACCGAGCCAATTTTAAAAGGTTTTAAGTCGGTAATCTTTTTAGAGCAGGGAGCAACAAACATTGAAGCATCTATCCTGTCTTGCACACACTCCTAAACCACTCTTTTCTTACCCCATATCCCACACGCGTTTGACTGTAGTCTCTTCCTGTTTAAGTAATTCCCAGAATAGACTTGCCTCCAGAATATTCTTACTGCCAAAGCAAGGAAACAAATATATATATATATATATATCCCCGAATAAAAATAGCAAGAGCAAACCGTTAATTTCTCTCGCAGTTTGCAGCTCCACGCTCCTTTTCTTGACCTCTCCTTTACACTTGTGTTATATATATATATATACATATAGCAGAAATGGCTAGGACCAATGTGGAATTATTCAAGGAATTTCTTGAAGGCTGGCTTGCACGTCAAGAACATTACCTGGACGAGCTCCTCACGGCAAAACAGAACAGTCATGAATCCAGACAGGAAGATCTCAATGACCTAACTACCAGAGTCCTCTCCCACTACTGGCAATACTATGATGAAAAATCACTTGTTGTTCAACAAAATATTTTTCTCGCTTTCTCTCCTCCATGGTTAACTCGTTTAGAGCGCACTTTTGTATGGGTCGGGGGCTTTAAGCCAGGACTTCTCTTTCGCATTGTCAAGGACTCTGTCGACGACTTATCAGAGGAGCAAAGTGAAAGAGCAAGTACATTAATGCGGCAGACGAAAGTGGAGGAGAGAGCGCTGGACGAAGAAATGGCAAGAATTCAAGAGAGCTTGGCAGCACCACCGCTGCTGAAGTTGGCCAGGCACGTAGGGAGGTTGGTCAACGGGAAGGCAGTGGAGGAGGAGGAGGTGTTAGGGTCCCTTAAGAAGGGGATGCAGGCAATGGTGGACAGGGCTAATTTGTTAAGGACAAGTACGGTGATGAAAGTGGTGGAGTTATTGAATCCAGTGCAAAATGTGAAGTTCTTGACAGCTGTTACTCAGCTTCAGCTCAGGATAAGAAGTTGGGGATTGCAAATGGATGCCGAGAGAAGTGAATCTGGTAGTAATTGGTCGGAGAGTTAACTTTTTGAGAGTTGGACGGCACGGCAGCCACAGTGGTTTTCTAGTTTGGATTAGGCCAGATTTTATTTAGGATAGTCATTTAGGGCTTAGTTATTCGTGGCGGTAGGTCGAAGCTAGAAGGAAGGGAGGGGAGGAAATTATTACTACCGCTTTCGTTATTTCAGAATTCAGATGGCTAATTCATCCGATTTTGTTTTTGTTTACCATTTTGACCATTTTCCTACTTATTGATAAATAAAAATCAAATTAATTATAAAAGTATTGTTCTTCAATATACAAACTCCTGAAACAAAGTTAATAAAACAATTTTAATGTCAATAAAATTTTTTCAAAATGTAGATTGATGAAAATATGTATATATTTCTTTAATATCAAGTACAAGATGACAAAATTTTGCAGATCAGAACAGAGTTCCATTTTGGCTCTCCCCTGAGCCAATACAGCTGAACAAACATTTTAAATTGCTATCAGAAAACCGAACTAAATGTTTCTTTTTTAATTATATATATAAAAGAAAATCAAGTAAGCTGTTCTATTAAAAAGATAGAGAGATCTAATGAAGAATAGAACTTGATCAATTCTGCTTCTAGTTATCCCATAGCAGACAGAAACCTGTGAAGTAGATGACTTTCCTTTGGTGCCAGAAAGGAATTAGAAAATGACCTACCGGCTAAAAATTAAGCCTCGGTTAGAGGGTAGATGATGAAAAACACACCCAAATTGGGATCCAATTCCAAGTTTTCTCCGGGATTTAGAAATGCATGTAAATAGCGCTTAAGGATGAGCAGGAAGAAAAGACTGTTGAGGACTGTAACCTTTTATTTCACAGCCCTCAAACCATCGTGTCTATACATCAATTAAATATATAATTTTTCCTCATAACATTCAAGACATAAATCTGCAATAGAAAAGGTTCTGGATCACGTTAAGATGGCACAGGAAAGTTTACACTGTTACATGCGACTTTGCATTCTCAACGTTGCTGGCTTAAAACTGTTATCAAGCTGTTGATGTCGTAGGTGCCTTCATATGTTTAGATGGGTTCTAAATCACATAATGCCTGCGATGTGATCCGAATACAGAAGAGTGAATAGCTTGGACAACAGCAACAAATACCAAACAATGATTTCCTCTCTCAACTTTTAAACTTGTTGTAGTTTGAGGAGGCTTACGGGTTGGGCAGTTGAACTAGCTAAGTCTGCCACAACATCATGGGTTGGTGTTTCTTAATTTTGAGTCATGAAAAAGCTTGAAAATTAAGAGATGGGTGAAAAACTGACTTCTAACTCAATTCTCCACAGAGGACACCATCGATGATGTCGAAACACCTCCAGACATGGTATGGCTCTTCAATTGCTGACATTAGGATTGAAGTACTTGGTGATGGATGATAGGAGTAATAGAATGAACATTTGCAAAACAAGTTTTTCTAGCTACAAGGAAGATTTTTTTTTAATGACTTTAAGTCAATGTATAAAGAAGAATGACAACCTAAAAAGACTATAATGCAAACAAAAAGATGAAAAGTAAAGATAAGAAGAGATTCAAAACTCTTAATTTTAAATCTCTTTGTTATTTATATATATATATATATATACTATATCAAACTTATCAAGTTGCATAGAAACAGATATGATGGTCTACTTTTTTGTTGTCAAAATCTTTTAATAGCAATTTAGAAGATAAATATTCTTAATGTTGAAAATCACTATTATAAAAATATGATAGTTTCATTATTGGTGTTGATTAAATAAAAATAGTTTTAAAAAAGGTACTTTTATTTAATAAATGCACTATCATAGATTCTTAGTATTTTAGGATAAATGATTTTGTGATTTCTTTTTTCACCATTTATTTCATATGGAGAAAAAAGATTGAATGATGGTTTATTGGGATAAAAAAAAATGTAATTCTTGATTTTTTGAATCCATTTAACTTGTTGAATCATCACAGCCCAAAATATCCATCGGTATCTATATAATCCATTCAAACTTTCACCAACCCGCTATCTCCAATCTACTTGGATACTTAAAATTCTAACCATATGGGAAGACGGACAGGATAGTATTTTTGGGCACAACCGACTCAACCCAGCCCTTGCACGGAATGGTACTACCGCACTGGTGTCAAAGACCAATAATGTCAAAGCTTTGACCATCGTTTCTTCTCTTGAGACGATTCGATATTTTAAAGCTATTATTTGAAATACTTGAAGAAAACTTTCCGTTAAAATTCAGATTTTCGTTAGGGATATTGAATTTAGGATTTATAAAAGCAATATAAGATTTATGGATTGCTCAGGACTCGTCAATTATGTACCTTAGATCTGTCGGACCGCAGTTAAACAGATGAAAAAGTGCTCATGTTTGGAAGGAAAGGATTAAAAAAAAAAAAACTTTCGTTTATTTGCACCGCTCGAGCTCAGGGGGAAAAGATAGATAATGCCATCGAACAATCTGACTCGTAAGATCTCCCATATATGTACAAGTGGCTAGCTCTAACATGTTCAGGATTAGGCCTTATCTTTGCTGATCAACTTGCAAACAAGATCACAAACAAAAGTGAAAAAACGTGCAAAATTATAGTGGCAAAAATCATTTCTCCAACGATTAAACCTCCCCTTTGAACATTCCTATAAAAGACGAAATGCAACGAGCCCCATCGAATCTCTCTCTAGATTTTTAAGTCGGTTATCTTTTTAGACCTATGAGCAACAAATATTGATGCACCGCACCTACCCTGTCTCTCACGAACTCCTAAACGGCGATGGAGAGTTTCAAGTTATTAGCCGGTTAGCCTCCCATGTCCCACACGCATCTGACTGTAATGTCTTTCCTCTTTTAAGGAATTCCAGAATATACTTACGGTCAAAGCTAAGAAACAAATATGTATCCTCTCTGCTTTCCTTGTTGTTTTCTCAAATGAATAGAGCAAGAGCAAACCATTAATTTCTCTCTCATTTTGCAGCTCTGCACTTTTTTTCTTCTCTCTTCTTTACACTTGTCATATATATGTATATAGAAGAAATGGCTAGGACAAATGTGGAATCATCCAGGAATTTCTTGAACGCTGGCTTGCACGTCAAGAACACTACCTCGACGAGCTCCTCACCCCAAAACAGAACAGCCATGAATCCGGACAGGAAGATCTCAATGACCTAATTACCAGAGTCCTCTCGCACTACCGGCAATACTATGATGAAAAATCACTTGTTGCTCAACAAAATATTTTTCTCGATTTCTCTACCCCATGGTTAACCCGTTTCGAGTGCACTTTCGTATGGGTCGGGGGCTTTAAGCCAGGACTTCTCTTTCGCATTGTTAAGGACTCTGTCCATGACTTATCAGAGGAGCAAAATGAAAGAGTGAGTAGATTAATGCGCCAGACGAAAGTGGAGGAGAGAGCGCTGGATGAAGAAATAGCAAGAATTCAAGAGAGCTTGGCAGCACCACCGCTTCTGGAGTTGGCGAGGCACGTAGGGAGGTTGGTCAATGAGGAGACAGTGAAGGAGGAGGAGGAGGAGGTGTTAGGGTCACTTAAGAAGGGGATGCAGGCAGTGGTGGACAGGGCTAATTTGTTAAGGACAAGCACGTTGATGAAAGTGGTGGAGTTATTGAGTCCAGTGCAAAATGTGAAGTTCTTGACAGCTGTTACTCAGCTTCAGCTCAGGATTAGAAGTTGGGGATTGCAAAGGGATGCCGAGAGAAGAGAATCGAGTAGTAATTGGTCGGAGAGTTGAATTATTTGAGAGTTAGAAGGCAGGCACAGTGGCTTTCTAGTTTGGATTAGGCTAGTATTTTATTTAGGATAGTCATATTTAGGGCCTTAGTCATCAGGGGTGGTAGTTAGAAGTTAGAACTAAAAGGAAGGCAGGAAAATGGCTAACTTGTCCAATTTTGTTTTTGTTCATTATTTTGGCCATCTATCCATTTATGTATCTATGTATTAAAACTCAAGCTTTTGATAAACTCTAGCAACTTTTCTTTCCCTTTTTTTCCCCCTATAGTTTTCAAGACGTGAGCTTTTTAAAAAATTCATAATATTAATCTTAAATACAAATTCCTAAAATAAAACTAACAAAATTTAATGGCAATATAATTCTTTTAAAATACAAATGATATATAATGTTCTCTTTCTATCTTTTCTTTTTCTTTTTCCTTATAAATTTTATTTAATACAATTTCTTCTTTCGAGGATTCATATCTTACAACTAGTCTTTTTAATCTGTTATTATATTTTGTTTTGTAGAATTAAATCACTCTATTAATTACAACCATTGTTTTTAATCCATCGTTATATTTTATTTTGTTGATTTAAATCATGCTCTTTTTATGCTTAATAATTAAGATAAATTAAGATAAACCTTAAATTCATATTTAGAAGTTTTGTTATGCATAAATTAGATCTTTTAGTGTTTTTGCATGTGAGATTTTGTCTGGTTAATTGTAAAATCCAAACAATACACAAATCAGTTAAAAAGAACGATTCCAACTTTTTGCTGGATATGTTTTCAACATGCTAACCTAGTAAAGATGCCAAAATTTTGCAGATAAGAACAGAGTTCTATTTTGGTTCTCCCTTGAGCCAATGCAACCGAAAAAACATTCTAAATTGCTATCAGAAAACCCAACTAAATGGTTCTCTTTTAATTATAAAAGAATCAAATAAACAGTTCCATTAAAAAAGATAGAGAGAGATCTAATGAAGACTGAAACTTGATCAGTTCTGCTTCTAGTTATCCCATAGCGGACAGAAACCTGTGAAGTAGTGACTTTCTTTCCGCGCCGAAAGGCATTAGAAAATGACCTACCAGCTAAAAATTAAACCTCAGGCAGGGGCTAGTAGCCTTGGCAGTTAGGCTTCGATGTGGGTCCATATATGAGTAAGAGCAATAAGGATAATGAAAAAAACCACCCAAAATTGGGATCCAATCCCAAATTTTCTCCACCATTTGACTGCGATTTAGCAAATCATGTAAATAATGCCTAATAAAGAATTACATAATGCCTAAGAAAAGATGAGCAGGACGAAAAGACTGTTGAGGATTAGTAACCTTTTATTTCACAGCTCTCAAACTCTATACATCAGCTACATATATAATTTTCCCCAACAAAATTCAGGACACAGATCTGTATGGAATGAAATGAAATTTATTTTATTATGTTTCCTTATGAGATTATCAAGCAGCTTCTCCGAGTCAATAGAAAAGTTTCTAGATCACATTAAGATGGCATAGGGAAGTTTACACTGTTACATGCGACTTTGCTTGCTCAACATTGCTGGCTTAAAACTGGCAAGACCAGTGATTTCCCTTCCTGTTATCAAGCTGTTGATGTCGTATGTGCCTTCATATGTGTAGATGGGTTCTAAATCACATAATGCCTGCAATGTCATCCCGGATACAGAAGTGTTAATAATATGTACAACAGCAACAAATACCAAACAAACGTAACTGAATTTTCCTGAAAGAAACTAAAAACTTTGAAGTACAGCCAGTTGAGGATAAAAAGAGATAAGGAACTAGCCGTTGAAAGCATGTTGGAAATTTAAGAAAACAGATTCTTCACATCTAAGAATAGCGATCAGCGAACAAGTCATTCACTGGTTGATGTAATGAGTGGTAAGAAACTCAATTTAAAAAATAAACAAGCATAGCTAAATCAAGTTTCTAGTTATTGCAATTCAAAAGACCTCAGGCATGTGGCCTTTGTTAAATGAAAATTTCTATTTTCATCTGATCTAAATGTGTCAGTCACATGTCTACGAGTCAGTCAAGAGTTTAGCATGAAAACCTTGGCAACTAGAAAATCAGCCAAAATTCCATTGCCACCAAGTAACTCCCTCCCAATACTAGCAGTTTCCCTTGCCTTCAAACTGATCCATGCCTGAAGAAGTAAAACAGCATCGTGGCTGAGAGCACAATTCTTTATCACCAGATATATTACAGCACTTTGCTGTCAATCATACCTTTGCCAAGCTGGCTTGACCAGGGGTCATTGTTCCCTTTTCATACAACTTGCAAATGCGCCAACCAACTAGTACCATCGCTTGGACATTACCAAGCATGTGAACAAGTTTCTGTTGATTGATTTGGAAAGCTGCCAGTGGTGCTCCAAATTGTTTCCTTTCCTTTAGATACCTTTGAATCAGTTAAGAGTCAGTAAAGGTCACGTCGGAATTTAAAATAAAATGGTACTTGGAAGAATCAGGATATACAGTGATTACCTGTGACACATGTCATAGACCCCCATCGCTATGCCAATAGGTTGCCAGGCAACCATTACACGAGAAACAGCTAGAACCTAACTTTACATAGCAGTACTCAGACAAGAAGCTTGGAAATCTCAAACGCATAAAGATAAAATCACATAGGAACACAATTAGGAAAAAAGAAAAGAAAAGTCAGTTGCGTAAAACCTTCATAACAAGCAAGATTTTGCAGGCCCTTATGCAAATCAATACTATAGGTGAATCGATGAGTAATTTCGTATTGATTTTCAAGCTCATTAAAACTCCCAACAAGGAAAAAAGGAACCTGACTCATTAAAAGTCAATGTTATGAAATACTCGGTAGAATGGGAATAGAGAAAATGTACCAAACAACAATGCAAATTATAACAGTTGTCTGAAGCGTATTTAAACTAAAAATGTCCTAAAAGCTATGAAACCAGTAAAATGCAGAAAACATGGTCCAAATAAACTTAGAGGATATATATATATTTTTTGCCTTTGTTTATTTAATTGAGTTTTAATGAGCTTAAAAATCAACCCCCAAAGGATAAAAGGAAGAGATGTAGTTTGTTGGCATTGTTACAAAATGCTTAGTAGAGAGGGACTACAGCAAGCATACCAAAAACCACTGGCAAATTATAACAATTTCTGAAGCATATTCAAACTATAAATGTCCTAACAAGTTACTGAAGCGTAGTAAAATGCAGAAAAATGTTGTCCAAATAAACTTAAAAGTATATTTTATTCGTGCTTCATTTGCTTGGAAAGATAGTGGAGAAGACAAAGATCATAATATAATTCTCATAAAATTTGGATGGTTCGATCTGTTTCTCTCGTACGCCAGATACTTTATTAATTTTGTACTCTCCAATTGACCTACTAAATCTCAACAGAGAAGGTGACGTCAACTTTGCAAAATACATGAACTTCTAAAGTTTGATTTGATGGGAATTGATCCCAAGGCTGAGGTTGCCCCAGTGGTAATGTTCTATGCATTAATAACTCTTGGTTGGCATACTGTTGCACTCCAGGTAAATGCTGAAGTTTCAGATTTGCAACACAAAACTGAAGTCCTATTTCATCATCTTTAGGAAACACAACTTGGTATATCTCAAAACCTAAGATTTACAGACTACCACTGCATAGTTGATTATCCCGAAAATCATAGCAAGACAGACATAAATGATTAAGGCCAGCACTACTGGAAAGAAATCGTAACTGCCTACCTTATTTGTGTCTTGAAAAGATTTGACACCAGCCAACCTGTCCTCATTGGGAACAAAAACTCTTTTCATGACAATATCTCCATTTTGTACTATGCGCAGGCCAATTTTATTTTCAATTTTTGTAACTGTTAATCCAGGAGAGTCATTCTTTACTATAAATCTGAAACAGCAAAAAGGGCAAAAAAACAATATATATATATAATAATCCAAAATGAAAAACTGTCATATGTATTGTTTTGCAAACTAAACTACACAAAAGGCCACCTATAAAATGCACCATAACAGGCATGGAAGTCAGAAATTCAGAATGAAAGAGTGAGACCTTTTCTAGGATAATCACTTAGTGAACCTTTGCTTGTAAATAATATTAGCCTTCTCTTTTCATTTATAATTCTCATAAATGAGAAAGGAAGTTTGTGTGAGGTTTGGTCATGCACAAATTTTCTCGGAGCATTTGTCATTGGTCTTGGGGTCACAAAATGATAGAACCAGTAATTATCTGAAGCCATTTCACATAAATATCCAGCAAAGAACAACAGACTACTCTGTGTTCCTGTGCATAAATATCCAGCAAAGGAGAGAACAAACTTCATAGACAAGGACAAAAGAGTATGTTTTAGCACAGAAATCTATACGACGGCTTTGTTGGTCTTTGTGCAAGCCTTCCCAGAAAATTAGGCTGCATCTAGTGTCTATAATTACAAATCTCAGAGATGAGCATAACGTCAGCACGACACACCATGCCAGTCATAGATAGAGAGAAACGTACCCATTAATCTGATTCGTAGTGGTATTCCGAGCAAATACAACAAGCAAATCGGCGAAGGTACTGTTTCCTATCCAGCGTTTTTCGCCCTCAAGTATCCAACCACCTTCGACCTGAATATCCCAGAATGAAAGGCAAAAAAAAAAAAAAACAAAGAAAGACTTACCCAGAAATTCAGCAGAATGACAGGAAGAATAGCAAGGTAAATAGCATAAAAGAGGTCAGGAGCTCAAACCTTTGTCGCTGTTGTTTTCAGACCACTTGCATCACTTCCATAGTCAGGTTCGGTCAAAGCCTAAAGATCAGGACAACATAAAGGAATTTGAATCTAACATAATTACATACCAGACACATAGAGTGGCTGAGTGCCCAAAGAAGCCACTTACCCAACAAGCTACAGTGCTGTACTGTGCCAAAGAAGGTAAATATTTCAGCTTCTGTTCCTCTGAACCACAAATTGCTGTTTTTCACAACCCACACAATTTACGCAACAGGTCAGAACTCATTAGCAACATC